TTTTTGTATAGAAGCCATAGCTTCTGGGGAGAATATCCCAACAAAAAACTAAGGGAACTTATGAGGATCAGTGGCGTGCTCCGAAACTACAGTCTTTCCTGCCTTACCCCTCGGCAATCAATGCCATACATTCCCCACTAATAGATAGTTGTTTTTTATAAAAATCCTGAAATCGGTTCAGATATAGATATATAACAAAAACGCGTCGTCTGTTGGGATACATATGTAGAATATACCCAAAGTGGTGAAGGGTATCATATAGTCGGCCCAGCCTGACTTTACTACTTTCCTTACTGGTTAAAGAATATGTTCTGAAGGACCATCGGCATAGGCATGAATTTTTAAAGAATGTGTTCTGAAGGACCACCGGAGTCATAGGCGTGGATTTTTAAAGAATAGGTTCTGAAGGACCATCGGAGTCATAGGCGTGGATTTTTAAAGAATATGTTCTGAAGGACCATCGGGGCCATAGGCGTGGATTTTTAAAGAATATGTTCTGAAGGACAATCGGAGTCATAGGCGTGGATTTTTAAAGAATATGTTCTGAAGGACCATCGGAGTCATAGGCGTGGATTTTTAAAGAATATGTTCTGAAGGACAATCAGAGCCATAGGCGTAGATTTTTAAAGAATATTTTTCGCACCACTATCAGAGCCATAGGCGTGGATTTTTAAAGAATATTTTTCCAACCACTATCAGAGCCATAGGCGTAGATTTTTAAAGAATATTTTTCGAACCACAAACAGAGCCTTAGGCGTGGATTTTTAAAGAGTATTTTTCGCACCACTATCAGAGCCATAGGCGTGAATTTTTAAAGAATATTTTTTGAACCACAAACAGAGCCTTAGGCGTGGATTTTTTAAGAATATTTTTCGAACCACAAACAGAGCCTTAGGCGTGGATTTTTAAAGAATATTTTTCGCACCACTATCAGAGCCATAGGCGTGAATTTTTAAAGAATATTTTTCGAAGCACAAACAGAGCCTTAGGCGTGGATTTTTAAAGAATATTTTTCGCACCACTATCAGAGCCTTAGGCTTGGATTTTTAAAAAATAAATAAAAAATATATTTTTCGAACCACAAACAGAGCCTTAGGCGTGGATTTTTAAAGAATATTTTTCCAACCACTATCAGAGCCATAGGCGTGGATTTTTAAAAAAATAAATAAAAAATATATTTTTCGAACCACAAACAGAGCCTTAGGCGTGGATTTTTAAAGAATATTTTTCCAACCACAAACAGAGCCTTAGGCGTGGATTAAAAAAAAAATAAAAAATATATTTTTTAATAAATCCATGCCTCCGATATTTTTTAAGACATAGTTTTAAATAAATCCACGCCTTGGATATTCTTTCAACATATTTTTAAATACATCGACGCCTTAGATATCATTTAAAAAATATTTTTAAATAAATCCACACATTTCAATGGCAGACAGGTAACCACTAGCTCTTCAAACTTTCACGGCTATTACTCAAAGTTGTCTAATATTTTGTTGTTCTCATTATGTTTTCCTACACTCATTTCTTCTTCTCCTGAATACATGTTTCCGTTACTAGTAAAACACGCAATCTAGGTTCAATGTAAGTGGGTGGGTCACCCTGGGTTGGGTTTTCGAACACCAAGAGGATGAGGAAGGGGTTCGGCTAAAGTTTGGATAAATATTAATTTGCCTTCATTGTTTTTACGTTGCTTTTAACATATTTTTTGCCTTGTCTTCGTTTTTTGTTTTCAATTCCTTTGTTTTCGTTCCTTGTGTGGGTGGATGTTTGTTTTGTTTTTCATTTTCTGTTGTCCATAAAGTGCATGTTTTGATGTGGCCTCTTTTATTTTCTGTTTTGTTCAATTCGACCAAGCTCATAGGGTCGTTGTCGTCGTGGTCGGTTGGCGTGTTCCACTGCATCGTTGAGGATGAACTATTTTTGTATTGTCTGTTGTCCAAGTGCCTGTCGTACAAAAAAAAAAAAAAGAAAAAACACACTGAAAAGGACAATAACGACGACAAGAGCAAAGTGTTGGCAAACACTGTCCTACACTGAGGGAGGTGGCCCAACACGGGCCCTACTTTCGTAGTATGCCACATTAAGTGCCTGCTCTGGGTGGCTTGAAGCGGGGCGGGCGTATACCACTTTGGCATTCTCATTTTGGGTAATCACTAATTACCATTAAATTGTAAAAATAAATGTTGCTTCCACTCAGCCTGCAGGTGGGGGTTTAGGGTGATGGCTACGTGGCTCATGTCATTTGTTACGCCAAAGTGGCTGACATTGACCAGAATATCACCATGCAGGAATGTGCGGATGTGGGTACACATTATTTCAGGTTGGGTGTAAATATTCTATATCCGCTTGTGTGCTGCGGTTTTTTGGGAGGTGGCGTCTACGTTCGACCAACCAACCCACCGACCGACCGTTCGTCCGTCCGACTATGTTGCTTGACCACTAACGGAAATATTGCGTTTTGTAATGGAATTTGAAATATTTTTATCAGTTGGAAACTGCATTCAAATAGCCAGACAACAACAATAACAGCGACGTGATATTATAGCTGGCATTTTAACGAAATGCCATCGCACAGAAACACACACACCCACATCTACACCCTTCAGGGAAGTTGTCCGCTAACTATTGTTTGTTATGGCTTCTGGCATTTTGTTTGTTTTGATTTTTTTTCTTTGCGTTTCGATTTGTAGGTGGTTTTTGTATGGTGTGATGTGCTTGCGTTCGGAATTATAGAAAGGATTTTAAATATTTATGCTGGTTTGGTATTTTTAGATAACGAGGTTTTTCTTTACCACAAAATGGCTATTTATAAGCGGAGCATTTATGATTTGTGGTGGTTTGAAAACGCAAATCGACAGAAAGTAGTTTGGGGAAGGTGTAACTCAAAGGCCGAGGCCAGTAATAGAAGTGATGAATGGCTAACTAGCAAACTGGAAGAAGGTGTTAAGAGTCAAGAGTCAAGGAAGGTGTTAAGAGTGTAACACATACCCCCAAAAGGAAGTAACTCTGACATATGTCCTTACATCTGCATGTCAATGTTCCCTCGAAGGAACATACGCATGTCTTTCTGCAACCTATGATAAATTTAATTTCATTCGAGTAGATTTTGAGACGTCTGCGTACCATGGGACAAATTTATGAAAAACGTTTTGTAGCAAAATTGATACACGCTATTCGGTACGCCGCACTGTTAAAAAATTACTTTCAATCAGACACCCGTTCGAAATACATATGGAAGCTATGGCTGCATTTGCACGAATTTCAACAAAACGCTATAACCAGATTCAAGTCTCGATTTGATACATTTTTCAAAATTTCGTGTTAATCGGACGAACATTTAGAGTTTGGAGCGCCATTTATGTAAAATCGGACGAATATATATTAATATATGAGAGCTATATAGAAATCTGAACCGATCCTAAATTATAAATACAATTTAGTACGCTATGACAAATTTCTTGCAATTCCAAGAATATGCAGGGACTTTGGTGTACCATTTACCATAAATCTGGCGAAAATATATATGGGAGCTATATCTAAATCTGTACCGATTTTCACGAAACTTAATACACACCATTCTAGACTCAATTCAGTATGTTTGGCATACCGTACTGAATTGAGTGCACTATTTACCTTAAATCGAGCAAAAATATATATGAGAGCTATATCTAAATCTGAACGGATTTTCACGAAATTTAACACACATCGTTTTAGACCTAATTCATTAGGCTACACCAAATTTCGTACAAATCGAAAGATATTTAGGGACTTTGGAGTACTATTTACCTAAAATCGGACGAAAATATATATGAGAGCTATATCTAAATCTGAACCGATTTTCACGAAATTTAACACACATCGTTCTAGACTTAATTCAGTACGCTATGCCAAATTTCATGAAAATCGAAGAATATATAGGGACTTTGGTGGAATATTTACCTCCAATCGGACGAAACTATATATCGGAGCTATATCGAAATCTGAACCGATTTTCACGAAACATAATACACATCGTTTTAGACCTAATTCATTAGGCTACACCAAATTTCGTGCAAATCGAAGGATATATAGGGACTTTGGTGCACTATTTACCTCAAATCGGACGAAACTATATATGGGAGCTATATCTAAATCTGAACCGATTTTCACGAAATTTAACACACATCGTTTTAGACCTAATTCATTAGGCTAAGGATATTTGGTGCACTATTTACCTAAAATCGGACGAAAATATATATGAGAGCTATATCTATATCTGAACCGATTTTCACGAAATTTAACACACATCGTTCTAGACTTAATACAGCACGCTATGCCAAATTTCGTGCAAATCGAAGAATATATAGGGACTTTGGTGGACTATTTACCTCAAATCGGACGAAACTATACATCGGAGCTATATCGAAATCTGAACCGATTTTCACGAAACGTAATACACACATCACTATTAAGTCTATAGTGATATGTACGCTATTTTGTGCAAATCAAAAGATATATAGGTACTTTGGTGCGCCATTTACCTTAAATCGGACGAAAATATATATGGGAGTTATAGCAAAATCTGAACCGATTTTTCCCAATTTCAATAGTGTTCGTTCTTGGGCCGAATAAGTGACCGGACATGCATAAATCAACTTAAAAAGTGATTCTATGCATATTCTCAAAAGGAAACATGTGTCTATCTCGTTTCCTTTTGTCTGTTACGAACATGTGCACGAAGACATAATACCCTGTACCACAGTGTGGTGAAGGGTATAAAAAACCAAACTACGTTCTGTCATAGTTGAATTTTTTCAACTTTGAAAATGGCGATTTGTTACTCCCTTTTCAATTTATGTTAAAAAAATTCGAATCGTCATCCCTACATACAAATTGTTTTATGTACCTAACATTAGCTCGTTATTTGTATATATGTATTTTTTTTCATTTCCCCTTAAATACCTTATCATATGCCTGCCTTCCCTTTTTTTTTTTTTTTTTGATTATTCATTACTTACCTTTTTATTGTTGTTGATGTTAATGTTGTTGTAGAAGTTGTAGTATTTGCTGATATTATTACTGCTACTGCTGATTTTGTTTTGTGTTTTTTATTATTACACGAAATGCTGATGATGAGTTGTCGTCAAAAATGTTGATTTGTATTTATTTTTTTTTTTATTTAGCAAAAAATATAACACCAAATGAAATGAAAAACAACAACAAACAAATCAAATGATTTGTATTTGCGGCACTCAGAAAAAAGGGATACTTTGCAATATTTGTATTTACAATTTATTTCTCTTGATTTGAGGTATTTTTTTCCACTTAATTATTAATTTTATTTGCTTTTAGCTGCCGCTGTTACAGATCTAAAAAAATAAAAGAAAAGAAATAAAAATTAAAAACAAATTATTAGGAATTTATTTTCTATTAATTTCATTTAATTTTGTTTATTTATTTATTTTTGTGAATTCCAGTTTGGAAATTCAACACAATTGCAATGCCATTCTTAGAATCATATTTCACAGCTGGTATTTTATATCAAACAGGTTTATTTGCTTATTATTTTTTACTTTTTGTAGAGTAAATATTATTATTATATAGTATGTTTATTTTATATATTATTGTTGTCGGGTTTCTTTTCTTTCTAAGCAGTTAATGCGTTAAAAAATCACACATCAAAAATCGCACATGTGTGTAGTTGATAACAGGCTAAGTATCGCGAGTGATTTCGGTTCGCAATTGTCAAGTGTAAAGCTAACATACTTAAATGGTACAGGGAGATCTAGTTATGGGTAAGGGTAAAAATATAAATCCACACCTCTGATAGTCCCTTAAAAATTTATTTAAAAATTTCCGCTTGTAATAGTCACTTAAACAATTCATTTAAAAATCCACATCTCAGGATTGCCTAAAAAGTTTATTTAAGGACAGCCCCCCATTCTCGATTTTAGTTTTTCAAAATTTTCAATGGGCTGGTAAATCAATACCAATGCTTGTTAAGGTTTGTAAGTTTGCTCAAATATATTTGAAGATTTAAAAGAGAAGAAAAGTAATTTACAAAAAAATGTGTAATTGTTTTGTTGTTGTTTTTTTTTGTAATTAAAGATAAGTCCTTATTTTTGATGGCGGCCATGATAACTCCTCGATGGAACATCGGAATCCGAAAATTTCAGCGGTGTTAGAAAGAGTACATGTCTGGCTCTCGTATGAACTAGGATTATTGACTTCACTCTAAAATTAACAAAATGGCGGACCTTTGAAAAAATATTTTTGGAAAATCGCCGATTTTTGACCAAAAACCAAGTTAAAAAATTAGGAAGATCTTCACCGATTGGCTTTATCCTAGTTCATACGATAGCTATACCCTCACAGAGAAACGTGTAAAAATTTGGAATCGATTGGGTTATTAGTTTTTGAGTTATCGTGCCCGCCATTCTCAAAAGAGAAAAACACGCTTAAAGTTTGAGAAGCCCTTCAGCCGTCACCTGATGCTGACACAATAAATCGGCTATATCTTCAAGAGTTCTTGAGATTTTCACTTGAAATTTTCTAGGGACATTCTTGAATTAGTGTAGATTCGAATTAAATCAAAAAATATTTTGACCCCGAGAATGGGGGGTCCCCTTAAAAATCCCTTCAAATTTTATTTAAAAAGCTAGTAAGGAAAGTAGGAAAGTGGAACGGGGCCGACTATATGATACCCTTCACCACTTTGAGTATATTCAAGAGATGAATCCTAACATACATCGCATTTTTGAAGGACCATTAATATGAAAATGGATCCAGGAACATGTTATTCTGCAACCTATACAAAATTTCTCATTTGGTCCGATATAGAGTTGCTTCTCACAATGGAACCAAATTATGTAAATCAATTTAAAGCAAATATCAATCCGGATGTCCGATTGAATAAACATGAGTAGTTTGGTGCAACATTTACTAAAAATCGGACGTAAATATATATAAAAGTTGTATCGAAATCTAAACCGATTTCATTGCAACTTGACACAGGTTAAGTTATACTAATTTCAGCATGTTTTGCGCATATCGGCCACATTTTGAGATCTTGGTGCACCATGTACATAAAATTGGGAGAAAATATATATAGGAGATCTATGCAAATCATAACCGATTTACGTTGTGCAAAATGTTGTGCCAATCGGACACACCTTGGTGAAACATTTATATTCAACTTCTAGGTTATACTAACTTCAGAACGTTGTGCAAAATTTGTGCCACTTTTGTACAAAATCGGACGAAAATATATATGTATCAAAATCTGTATATGTATCAATCTCTGCCTGAGATTAACATACATTAACAGCAATTTATTATTGTGTGACAATCGGACAAACTTTGAGTCTTTAGTGCACAATTTACATAAAATCGGAGGAAAAAATATATAGGAGCTATATCTAAATCTGAAGAGATTTTCACGAAACTTAGAACACGTCATTCTAGACCTAATTCAATACGCTGTGCCAAATTTCCTGCAAATCGAAAGATATTAAGGTACTTTGGTGCACCATTTACCTAAATCGGGCGAAACTATATATGGGAGCTATATCTAAATCTAATCCGATTTTCACGAAACATAGCAGACATCATTCTAGACTCAATTCAGTACGTTATGCCAAAATTCGTGCACATCGAAAGATTTGCAGGGACTTTGGTGCACCATTTACCTAAAATCGGGCGAAACTATATGTGGGAGTTATATCTAAATCTTAAGCGATTCCCACAAAACTTAGCAAACGTCTTTCTAGACTTAATTCAGTGAAATATGCCAAAATTCGCGCAAATCGATTGATTTTCAGGGACTTTGGTGGACCATTTAGCTAAAATCGGGCGAAACTATATATTGGAGCTATATCTAAATCTGATCCAATTTTCACGAAACTTAGCAGACATCATTCTAGACTCAATTCAGTACGTTATGCCAAAATTTCGTGTAAATCCAATGATATATAGGGACTTTGGTACACCATTTACCTTAAATCGGACGAAAATATATATGGGACCCAAATCTAGACCGATTTTCAGGAAACTTAACACACATCATTCTAGACCTAATTCATTACGCTGTGCACAAATTTCCTGCAAATCGAAATATATTGAGGAACTTTGGTGCACCATTTACGTTAAATCGGACGAAAATATATATGAGAGCTATATCTAAATCTTGACCGATTTACAGGAAACTTAACACTCATCATTCTAGACCTAATTCAATACGCTGTGCCAAATTTCGTGCTAAATCGAAAGATATATAGGGACTTTGGTAAACCATATACCTTAAATCGGACGAAAACGGACATGCATAAATCGACATAGAAACTGAATCTATGCATATTCTCAAAGGGACCATCTGTCCATCTCGTTATTCTTCTGGAAGGTACATTAGTACAACTCAACAAAATTATCGTTGTCATTTTTATGTCCGAACAGCACCCTGTCACAACATGATTAGGAACTTAGTCTCCCGTTTTGAGGAACATGGACGAGTGTTAGATCTCGACATAGTGTAAACGAAGATCCATCTGTCTCTACTCGTCGTCATTGTACTCGATTTTGAATCTCCAGAACATCCCTGCAACGAATTATGAACCGGGATCTTAAAGTGTTTCCATATAAAATTCAAATGGCACAACAACTGCTCCCCCAAGACTATCAGACATGCCTGCAATATGCTATTCGAATAATTTCCAAAAAATGTGATTTTGCTTGGCCCCCACGCCCACCAGATTTGACCGCTCCACTCTTTTTTGTGGTGCTATTTGAAGGGAGTTGTGTATATCAATAAACCAAAGAATTCAAAAGCTTAAGCACAACATTCAAGCAGAAATAAGCAACTTGAAACCAGAAACTCTACGGGCAGTAATGGAAAATGCGGTAAAAAGAGCCAATTTTTGTTTGCAAGAAAATAGACACCATTTGAGAGATTTTATATTTCAAACTTACATGTCAAAAATGTTCATGAATAAAATATTTAAAAACACAAAAGAAAAAATCAATAAAAAATAAAAACCAAAAAATTACAGTTATTTTCAATCCTTCAGTCCTTTTTGGGCCACCCTGTATTTAAAAAATCTACTGATAGGCATTAAAAAAATATATTTAAAAATCCACGAGTTTGACTCCTTAAGAAATGTATACTTCTGATAGTCCTGGAAAAAATATCATTTAAAACATCCACACCTCCATTAGTTCCTCAACAATTATTCTTTTAAAAATCCATACATCCGATTTATGTTAGTTTGACTGTCTAGGCTTTGATTAACAGTCGTTTTACATTTTTTTCGTTACACCCTATATTACAATATCACGTTGTGTTATTAGTAATATTTTTTTGTTTTTATCATTCATTAAGCCATTGTATATTATCAAGGTGTGACGTAGACGCTTCTCTGTTTGCATTTTGTTAGCTTATTAATTAACATGCTAATATTTTGTGTTGTGTTTTTGTTTCTTTTTGGTTTGTCATTTCTAAAAACCGAACTTTGCAATATTGGCGATCAACAATTTTTTTTTTGTTTTCGTATAACCAATACGAATACACCGGTAACGTTTTTATTTATTTGTTTTTTGCCATCTTTGGTTTTGATAATAATTTTTCGATTTGCATAGGGGCTTTGTTATACCGTTTCTGGTGTTTCCGCCAAATATGCCAGACAAAGAAAAAACAAATGTGAAAGATATTAATTATTTTTTTGTTTCTAGAATTCATTTATGATATTTTAATTTTTTTATTAAGCAAATTTGTTGTCGAGGTGTTATATTTTGGAAGGGGATTGTAAATTAATTTTTAGGTGGGTTAGGAATATTTCGAAGTGTTGTGTTTTGGAGTTCAAGGTAAGGTACATAAGAAATATGTTTTTCTCATTTGTAATAAATGAAACAAAGAATGTTTTTTTAAAAGTGTCATAATCGTAGGAAAATTTAAAAATTTCATATATAAAATACTCTGAATTTCTTTCTAATAAAATTTTAAAATATAATACAGGTTGCCTCCTCTGTTTGTAAATAAGGCTACAACCCAGTTTTTTTTCTTTCAATAAAAAAATAATATGTACTCATGGTTATTAT